ACAGTCGCTGTTTACTGTGAGAACCATATGGAACACACAGATACACTCTGTGGGCAGAATGCAGAGTTTTAGTATGTTCAGTCCGTACCTCACAGGAAACATTACGTCTCCATTACAGAGCCCAACCTGTTAATGCTGTTTAAGGAAACAGTCGCTGTTTACTGTGAGAACCATATGGAACACACAGATACACTCTGTGGGCAGAATGCAGAGTTTTAGTATGTTCAGTCCGTACCTCACAGGAAACATTACGTCTCCCCTACAGAGACCAGCCGGTTAATGCTGTGTAAGGAAACAGTCGCTGTTTCTTGTAATGGTCATATGGAACACATAAATACACTGCGTGGGCAGAATTCAGAGTATGTTAAAGCAGGTGGCACGTATACTGACCACTAGGCTTTAAAAAGTTAAGCGGCGTGCAAAGTAGATGCTATGTGTAAAACACCTTTCAGGACGAGTCATCATCAGATAATGACGTAGATCGTTGCGTCATTATTGCAAAGAAAAGTCACTTACATTCCATTTTAAGCAGACTATGGGAACCGAACTGCCACGATACCGTGGCTTCTTGCACAAGCCTGCCTACACGAGGTGTGACGTGCCCTCACAGGTCTTTTGGACGGAGCATAATCATCGCCTGTTGTGTGTGCACAGCGCTCATGCAGTGTTGCCTACACGAGGTGTGACGTGCACTCACAGGTCTTTTGGACGGAGCATAATCATCGCCTGTTGTGTGCACAGCGCTCATGCAGTGTTTATCAGATCCGCTCGTGATAGTCTCCCGGCGACAAAATTCTCTAATCAATGCCACTTCAGATTACTTGCCAAATGGCACAATCGCATGTTGCAAAACCGGTTACCGCTTCAAAGTACAGTGGTAACTATGTGTACCACCTGATGACACTAAAAACTCTCTGAATTCTGCACACACGCTGTATTTATGTGTTCCGTATGGTTCTCACAACAAACAGCTATTATTTCTGTAAACAGCATTAACCGGTTGGTGCTTCGTAACTGAGGAACCGTATAACATTTCTGGATTCTCGCGGTGGTGGCTGTGACGTCATGCATTCTGGTAGAACGCTACTAACTCCCCGAAGGAACCTGGTGCCCCGTCTCCACAGCAAAAAAAATGATTTTTCTACACTGAAGATGAACACAGAAAATCGCTTTGAAACGTATGTAGCGTTCTGCCAGACTTCACGACGTACACATCCAGAGGACAGTGAGTTTCGGCGACGTGGCCAACAGCATTGTCAATCATAAACTGCAACGGGAACAATTCGATTAAGGCTGTTTGTGCATTTCCTACGTTCTACAGCCAATGCTGCCTTCGTACCGGAATTCTGAGCTGCACTTAATGACTCACAGCCCCCCCCCATCCCAAACGCTTGGATTTTGGAAAACATTCAACATTTAAAAATGGAGGAAATATATGTATAAATGTTCTTCTTCCCTGCATTACATATCCTTAGGAGATTCACAAAAGAATATTCTGAAAATGGTTTAAAAGTAAGTTCGTAAGCAAATTTTCTGGTTTTCCACCGCACTGGGCAGAATCCTGGATGGAAATATGGACGGCTATTGCGGCTCCGGACGAGACACACAACTGGCCGACTGAGATGGCTCGGAGGGAAACACGTGATTTGTACTACCAACCATAGCCACTTGGTTTGTGACGTAACAATAATTTCGAGGGCTGCCGCCATACTTGAAGTGGCACACAAACACCTACTGTATTTAAAACGCAGATACTATAAAAAATTAATGAAAGTTAAAAAAATCTATGTAAAAAGTAGGCGGTATGTCGCCGTTTGATATAATATAGAGTTTGTTAGAAATTTGACACAATGAATCATGATGTGAAAATGGGACCGTAAAACAAAATGAAAAATGGTGGATATTACGTTTATGTTGTTTTTCTGCCAATAAAATATGGTCTATGCGTTTAAAAGTGTTTCAAATATAATGACAAAGCATTTATTGATTGATGCAATTCAATGTGTTTGCGTAAGATAAGCAGTCAATTTGGATGTAACAGTGTCTGATTATCTGAGCCGATATTCTCCCGAACAAAGAAGCTGGGCCTGACAATTTAAATTCGTTTGTGACTTCTATATGTGTAATATAAATTGTAGTTCTTGTCTACAATAAAGTGTGACATTTACGACGGAATTTATATTATACATATAGAAGTGTGGAATATAACAGGATGCTTAAATATAATATTGTTTGTGACTATGGCATAATAAGGGAGTTCAGGAATTCGATAGAGAAAAATACAATAAATGCAGTTTCTTTCGGTCGATAACGCAGACAAGAGCCCAGTATCGCAACAGACGTGACAGTAGTGCACTCTGTTGACAAACATCTATAACTCCCTAGCGTCAATTAGCGTCTGTCCGAGCAAACATCAAATAGAATATTCAACATCCAGCCTCATAGTGTGGATATTGTAGCACGTGTTATACTCTCCTAGTTTGTCTTGTTTGTTTGTTTATTAGGGTGTCCTCATGGGAAGTGTACACCGCAGTTTGACGAACAATTTTTGTTCTTCCCGAAGGTTAAAGTCTTTAGGTTCTTGGGCTCACAATCATTTTTGTGACGTTCACAACGTGTTCTGTTGCCATGGTTAGCACGAAAAACTCTCGTCATGGCCGCAGAGTTTTTCTTGTAGGGCGAAATGAATAGAATTTGAGTAGAAACCCACGCACGTATCCCTTTGAATGTACCAGTTTTTTTTTTTTTTTTGCTATGACGCGCCTTTCCGAGAAACTACGCGACTGACGAGGCGTTTGGCCACAAGTACCACCATTATTTATTCTGTAGCGTGGATGGGGGGGAGGAGAAAACTTTCTTACAAATTTAAGTTTATACCGTTTACGAACATTTATGAGGCTCAGTCCGGAATTGCGGTCTCCATATTGAAACATCGATGGCGTCACATATAAAAAATAAATTTCTGGCACATTTCCTCATCTTTTCAACTTTGTTTTTTTCTCTCGAATTTCAGGGGTGGGGCCAATGCCTGTCTTGCTCCCTTCTCTCTCCTGCCGGCGCCCATGGTTTTGGTTATTATATGCAAGTTTTGTAAGGGCAGTCAGTGACTCAGACTAACGTTGAAAGGTAGCATAAGTAGTGAATAATTAATTGTACTGGGTGCAAAGTGGTCGTGACCTAACACAATGCATCATCCCTGTATTTACATGCGCAAAACCTCGGTCAGAACATTGATATTTGAAATATCAAGAAGTGCTAAACACTTGATCACAGTGTTTGTTCTGATTTCATCATCAGACTGATGACAATTCAACAAAGGTTACATGCAGGCAACTTGCTGAAACATTCATGTTGTTGGATCTGTAAATTATCTCAGTTTATTTGCACTTTCCAAGCAGGAAAAGAGAGGGAATGTGGGGGGGTGGGGTGGAGGGGGGGGCATACTGAGACTCCAGCATGATAAATTGTCACTTCAGAGGATGGAAACCATCAGGATCCTGAGCACTGCTCACTAGTCTGGATGTTCAAGGAAAGAACTGCATTCAGGTTAGTAAGTTCTGTAAACTATGGAATTGCAGCAGACATGATCTCTATTTAATCTGCATAATCAGGAAAAGTACAAGTAGTGTGGGAACCTCCTCAGTAAGGGCTTCAGTTTGACGAGTTTAAATTGGGAGGGCTGCCTGAGAAGCACCTGTGTAGAGATGTCTGTTGGCACAACACTGGGGATACAGACTTCTAGCCGGCTTTTACGACAACCAAATGGATGTAGAGGTTCCCTGGAGTTTCTGCAGCAAGTGGGTTGTTGCTTTATTGTGTAACAAACATGATACAATAACTACAGCACTCAGAACTTATTTGTGTCTGCATGGGGATACCAAGGGGTCATCCATGAGGGCTCTTTAATGGCCACTTTGAGGTATGTGTCAAAATCTTGGCCAGCTTTCCAGCCCTTGTGGCCTACGCAGCATGTCCATTTGTGCTTCTGTATGTCTTGGGGTAAAGCTGGTCATAGCATTTGTCTAATGACTAAGAGCACAGGGTTCATAAGATGTGTGTTGCCACAAATATGTGCTTATGGTGCCTCTGTCTTCACCAAATGCCATGATAACAACGGATGATTTATTTTTTATTTTTATTCTTAGTGGGGTAAGACTGAGTCCACTTGGTACTGCGGCCACTATTGTCCTGTTGTACTAGCCCCGGGGGATAGATGGTGGTGTTTATGGAGCAGTTGGTGGAATGAAAATTGGCAGGGAAAACCGAAGTTCTGGGAGAAAACGTGCCTCCGCACCACTTTGTCCACCACAAATCAACAACTGTCAGTTCTCATGGAATTATAGACAGACCAGTATTCTGATACTAATGTTCCCCACATTCAGAGCTTCTGACTCGCACTCAGGGGATTCATGGCTAAAATCTTGCCGAGGTCTTTCATGGTTCCTGCCGGTCTCTTAAGGCAAATACAGGGACACTACTTCATACAGGCCACGACCAATACCACCCACATCCAATCTGATCAATTTTACACTAATCATCCATCATGTGGTGATCTACTAGTCTGAACTACTGACAGAGTCATCAGTAAATGAGTCACAAATAAATAAAAATCAGACTTATGCCTTTGCAGGTAATTAAAGCAATTAGCTCCTTCTGAACTTTTTGTGTATGGTGATAGAGCATGCTGCTCCGACATACTGGTAGTGATCTACCAGACTACACTGTATCACATCACAGATTACTGTGTCCATGATCAAGAGCCAGTTAACAGCTGTTGCTGTTGAGTGATTTGCTGGGGCAAAGCTCCAGTGTTCTACTGACATTTGCAGCACCTGCTGACATCTGTGTAACATGTGTAGACCCTAGCTTTATCAGTTGCTGTAGCAACTGGTCTGCTTGTGTGGGTCAAACTGATGCACGCAACACTCCAAAAGAATCGCACTGTATAACAGGTTATTCAGCATTAGTAAGTCTCATAAAGGTGTAAAGGAAATATATAATAAGCAGTAGACAAATAATATAATATACCTATTTCGACTGGTAAGATGCACTTATTTCATATGGTATTTTGGGGAACCTCGGAATATGTAACACTACGAACAGTAACTGCTTTCAGGATATCCCATCCACATTTCTGGATGAGCAATCCATCTCATCTACAGGATGGACAGCTGGGGCTCAATTTGGGATCCTCAACTGCCACCAGTTTCATGAGACATCTGAGGTCCATCCAGCCACTAGGTACTGGGATCTCCTTCCCATGGTTAATGACCAAAGCAGACATTGTCATACAGCCTGTGCCAGGGCTTAGAATGCATGGAGGTGGACCTCCATACCCACTGGCCTTTCATAGTGCAGTCTCTTTCAGTATTGCCACTGCTGCAGCACTAAGTAGACCAGATATTGGAACTGTTACCAACCATGCAGCAACAATATTCCTGCAGAATTAACAACAAATAATTTCATTAATCAAATTTCTGTAGCGTGACTATCTCCACCGATCACCACATTAAGTGCAATAATTCACATCTAATTAATTATGTTTCATTTGCCTTAGCTATTGACCCACTGTATAAATGTGTTAGATGAATGATGTACATGGGTGCTGGCACCAGCAGGACGGCAAGACAGGCATCTCTTACTCCAGGGATTTTGGAAAGGAAATCAAAATTAAAAAGGGACGAAAACTGTTAAATAAACATTAATAATTAACGTATTTTGTATTAAAATACTCTTACATTCTGAATTCTCTAGGGCATAGGTTTGTAAGCAAATGTTCTAGCTGAATCCTGTATGGAAGAAAATCCTGATGGCAACCCTGCATCTGCTTCAACATTCATACGCTGTATTTCTGAATTCTCTAGGGCATAGGTTTGTAAGCAAATGTTCTAGCTAAATCCTCTAGGAAAGAAAATCCTGATGGCAACCCTGCGTCTGCTTCAACATTCATACGCTGTATTTCTGAATTCTCTAGGGCATAAGATTGTAAGCAAATGTTCTAGCTAAATCCTCTATGAAAGAAAATCCTGGTGGCAACCCTGCATCTGCTTCAACATTCACACGCTGTATTTCCCAAGCAATGACACAACCGATTCATTTCATAGCATTTCAGGGTCTATTGTTACCTCCCATTCTCTGAATGAGCACAAAAACTCAAATGTTCAAAGGAAGAAAATGGAACAGATCGGGAGGGGGGGGGGGGGCTGAGAGCCTAAAGGCAGCAGCAGTAGCAGAACTTACCTGAAGAGCTTCCAGTCAACGCCTTGCTTTGTTGAGCTGGCCCAGCCCACAAATACAATGGATCCAACTTTGCAGTGTGTCGTGCTTATTGGCAGGCCAATCTTAGAAGCCAACAAGACTGTGAATGCGGCACCTATCTCTATAGTGAACCCTCTGAAATGAAAAGTGAAATTAGTGCATCACATCTCTGATAGCATCATGGTAAGATACAGAACTCATACTCAGAAGGATCTCAGTTTGATCTCTGGTCAGACGCGTACTCAGGTTCTATGCGTGCAAATTGATATTTTCACATATCGACATAGAAACCCCTGGGAATATGTGGAGTACCAGGCACTGCCCCTCCACATTCCAGAGTCCACTTTAAGGCTGAAGGGCCCCCCTGCTTACCATCACTCTCATGATTCTATATTTTTTGGGAGAGGGGGAGTAACAGAATGTACTCCAGGGGTGCCCCCCACATCAGAAATAGATTCTGTGCCCTCGCCCAGGTCGGTAGAGGCGAAAGAGGTCAGCACCCACCACGTCTGGCGGCACTAAACAGAGAACAGGCATCAGAGACACATGCACAAAGAGGGCTGAACACTCGACATCCTGCAATGTTGTGTTACAACCACACTTCAACAAACTGGAGCCCAATCACGTCAACTAGACTAGAACACAATATTTCAATATTCCATCACGTTTTCATAAATACAAGGACTGAGGAATGAATGCATTACTTGTCTACAGGTACTCACGTGGAAGCTGCAATCTCCGTAAGGTCCTCCCCTATGGTCTTCATGACTCTCTGGCCCCACACACACAGTCCAACAGACATACCAACACCTCCGTAGAACAGAAGGTAGAGGGGTGTCTCTGAATTCTGGTGCACAGATCCTTCTGTGTATATCAACCATATTGCTATCACTGGACCAATGGCGTTGCTGGGAAAACAAGTCAGGGACATTTACTTCAGTATGGATATAATGGGCTACACTGGCACTATGAACAACTGACCCAAAATTCTATGAAGAGCGCAGTTTTCTGAGTTCTAATGACATGTAGTTGTGTGAGAGTCTGATACTGCCCCCATCTTCAGGGTAAAGGAATAAGCCAATCAAGAAACAAGCAGGAGCAGGTTCAGCTTGCCCCCTGCTTCCACTGGGTCCTTGTTCAAGTTCAGCTTGCCGCCTACTTCTGCTGGGTCCTTGTTCAGGTTCAGCCTGCCACCTACTTCTGGTGGGTCCTTGTTCACGGTCAGCTTGCCACCTGCTTCCGCTGGGTCCTTGTTCAGGTTCAGCTTGCCACCTGCTTCCACTGGGTCCTTGTTCTGGTTCGGCTTGCCACCTGCTTCCACTGGGTCCTTGTGTTGCTTACTTTTCTACCTCGAAGAGTGAGGCAGTATATTCCTCCAAAAGTCCGGCTCTTTCCAAACCATATGGCATTGTAACCCAGAAGAATGTACTGTTCATAGTCACTGCATAACAACCTCAGATCCAATCTGACATAAACTAAGTTTAAAGTTCTTACTGATAATTGTGTGATGCAATATTTCAGACCATTCTTTTTTTAGACTTCCACTGTCATTTCAGATTTTGTTACAAAAACTGCCACAGATTCTGTTATAAGAATGTTTTACGGTATTCTTCCCTTTTACACATAGCTCTGAATGAACATTACCTGACATCATTACCACCACGAGCGAATGAAGCAAATGTGGCAGCAAGAATTTGCAGGAAGGAGAACAACTCAGGTGGAGCCTCTTGCTTTGGTTGTTGATTGTTCTTAGGGTCATCTCTGCACTCGGAGGGTGGCTGTTCTGTGCTGTTATCGGAGGAGAGGCCTCAAACATAACAGTGTCATACAGTGTCCAAAAGAATGAAGCAGGATCTCGCTAAAACAGAGCGTTGCTAGAGAACTCAGGATGATTAAGACATTCATACTCCTGTTCCTGGGTGGAATGTGAGTCTAAACAAGCAGATCAGCGCTGCTGATCAACATTTTTCATAAATTACCCAATTTAGCCATCAATGTTGAAAATCTGATGAATTAAACAGTGAATTAATCTCTTAATAGAAAACATAGTATCAAACTTGAAAACTGTGAGATTTTCAGCAACCCATGCATATAAAATGCTAACTCTTGTTATTCTGTCATTATGTATGTCACAAAGTAGTTATGTAGCAGAGCAGCAGATGACAACATGGTTAGTCAGTACAGTGGTGTCCACTTTTGCTGAAAGCAGTAGAACCCAGCCCATATTACCATTCTGTTCCGGCTTAGAATCTTAGTACGAACGTAGCTGTCCTTCCAGAACTACAAGTTCGCAGCACATAAAATCATGATTTCCAAGGGTCACAGTGCAGAACACACAGCGTGACCAAGTATGGTGCTGAAAACCACATGACATTTCAACATGCTTTATGTTAATGCCAAATTAAGGCTCAAGTCCAGGCCTCATATTCCTAATACTTAAATGTGGCAGAACCAGTTTGCTCCCAATAACAGGGAAAGAGGGGCTGACCACTAACACAGCGGGGCGTTGTACCCACAAACCTTTGCCTCTCAGAGGTAAGGGATGAAGATGGCATGTGCAACCTGTCTTGAACCACGAACCTTTGACATGGAAATCCAGTTTAACTCAAGAACCTCAGGTTCCCTGAAAATGTACGTATGTTGATGAATGTACTGAGACGTAAATGCTTGTTTCCCCCTAAATGTTTACAATACCAGAATTAAGAACTCACTGAATACTGGGTTGTCATGTCCAAGCGATGTCACATCCCCTGGATGTATAGCCTCCTGCAAAACACAAAGAGTTGCGTCAATATTTTGGGTTTATTTAGCGATGTCATGTGTAGCCGAGAATGTACAATGACAAGCAGTGGCATGATTAATAATTAATGAATTGGTAAGGGTGTAGAATGATGAGGCTGTGGCCTAAACTGAGATACTATATCATATTTGCCTTGAAGGACTGAAGAAAACTACGAAACCTCAAAGAGGGTAGCTAGTGTCTCGACCAAGATTTGGAAGTTTTCTGACAGTTCTGATGCATTTGCCTCAACCATGCCACAGCTCAGGCGGTTAGTCACTGGCTTCTCACCACAGCAGCCTAGGTTCGACCCCAGGTCAATTTGTGAGGGGCAAAGTGGCACTGGGACAGGTTTTCTTCAGTAATTCGATATACAACGGCAATTCTCATTCTGAAAAAGGCTCTGTTTCTCCTCTGATTCAGGACTCCGTGTGAAGCTGACCTGTAACTTCGATTTAGTTGTGAGGTCAAGAATGGTGGAGCTATACCTCCACTCCCCCATATGTCTTCATGGTGTGATGGTTAATTAATTTAGCACAAGGAGAACTTTACATTTTCACCTTTACCATTCAGGGCTGATACAGTGGGCCATTTAATGCCCTAAGCATGATGACTGAACATGCAGAAGAACAAACTAGAAAACGGAACAGTGAATGTACAAACTGGAAAGATTTTAAATATAAATTAAAAATAACAGAATTAGATGGTACAAACACATTTTCAGAATAAGCAATGACAGAAAGCCAAATAAGGTTTTGAACATGTAACTAAAAGGAAAATGCCTATCAGGAAGACCAAGATCACACATATGACACATGAGGAAGGAAGAATGAGGGAGGAAAGAAACTGAAGACAAACTGTGGGGAGGAAGGAGAGAAAAGGAACGAGCTGTACATGTGATGCTTGATGCATTTACTGACAGGACACGCACAGCGTTACAGTGCAGCTTGGCATTTCCAGCCTTAAGGTCCAGCACACAGATCACATGGTTCAGACAAGTTCCACCGCTAACCTGATTACTCTTGGTTGACCCGTTCCTTGAATGTGAGCCACCGGAACTGCCAGTCAACTGTTCCGTCTGGCCATTGGGCTGTGTCAGTGTTTCTTTTCCCATGTCATTTGCTTCTGTGCAGAAAGTATTAGTGTTCCTCAAGTCATCGAGCACAGTGCCACCTGATGGTGGGTCTGCAAATTAATTACATAACATTGTTCTACGGATGAAATGTGGACTTCAGTAGTGGATTATTAACACAAGCTCGCCAAATTGTAGGGTGGGTGTGCAGGCAATCAGGTTGCCTTTATGTGTCTTAATATCTTTCTTGCTGGATACAAGGATCTTCCTCTCGCCACGGCTAGTAGTCCTGTAAGTTAGGACACCACGTCCATGCAGAAAACTCATTGCTTTTGGCTCCACTAACACAAAACATGTGAAGGTTATGTCATCTTGTCACCACAGTTGCAGTGATCTTCTTATGGAGGGAAATTAACAAATTTCAGTGGGTTGTTCATTAAAGAGGAACATTTTTTTTCAACTGCCATTTTTCTATGACACACCATTTCAGAGAAATAGGGTGGGAAGCACGTTTGTCTATTTCATACATGAATTGTATACTTATTTTGAAACTGAAGCAATTTAAGTCAAAAAGACACTAACCTGATCTGCAACGAATCTTCCTTCTCATGAATGGCACTAAAAAGAACTGTACAATGAGCATGGCCACTGCTCCAGTGAACACGCTGATGAGCAGCGTTCCCCACCACGGAATTCGATCAAAATACAGTACTGTAACAGTCAGCGTCAAAACACCATGTTATCACCCCTTAGTCTGTATCACAAATGATTATAAATTTTATTGATAACAAAGGTAATTAAGACAGTTATGAGAGAGCTGATGTTTTGCAGTGGTAAAGATTTATAGTGTAACCTCCTCCATTATAACGTCCTGAGGATGGAGTCAGTATATTCCTTCAGAATGCTGTAAATACTACACTCATACTCTGAATATAGAAGCAGCACGTTCCTCAGAAAAACCTGCTGACCAGCTTCCCTTATACCCTGAAGATGGAAGCACTATGTTCCTCTGAACCACTGGTAACCATACATAGTTCTATCCTGAAGATGGAGACGGTTTATTTCTTTGAAATGTTGGGATCCGCCTACAAAACTAGACGGTGTATGAATGTGATCAACAGTTGAGACAGTACAATACAAAAAGACATAGACTGTATGCTTGAACATATCTGATGAAACAAAAATCTAAATACTTTGAGAGGAATGACTGTTTTTGGAGACATTAGCATAAACGGCAGAATAATATTAAAAATCAGAGAAATGGGGTGTGAGGGGATGGACTGGGTTCAACTGTCTCTCAGAATGTGATCCAGCGGCTTTCATAAAAGAGAGACAATTTCTTGACCAAACAATTCACTACCAGATCCTGAAGAAGACGTCTTCTCCAAGAAGTTTGTTGCATGTTTCAGTAATGCTTTAAAGCATCTGGTAGCTTTGTTTACTGTCTCATCTAAACCACCCACAGAGTGTATTTAAGTATAGTTCCCACAATAAACAATGACTACTTCCCTAAACAACATTAGCTGGCTGGCATCTGTTATGGGGATGCTATGTACTTTCTCCATTGAGGTAGGAAGAGAATTTTAAATTATTATATAAATGAATTTGAGGCTTAAAGCGTAAAATGCATGCAACATTTCCACTGCCTAAAGAGTGCTAGGAAATATNAGTTGTATTCTGGCATTTGGAGTGTACTAATTGTGATACTGCAGGTAGCAGTAATCGTCAGATTGTAGTTTGGGTGATTGTATGAGCGAATGTGAAATAAAACTCGCTACATCAAATACAACGAGAAGTTATTTGTCGCGTCATACCCCGCGATACGCGACAATATAATAAGGTGTACACATAAAATAAACATAAACTACCCAGAATTACTGGGTTTTTAGACTTTATTCATCACCTGGTACTGAGGTTAGCTCTTTCTAACGGACCGAAGAGAGTAGGTGTAGCCACCCCCCACGAGGATGGAAACAGATCCAGTTTCCAAAACGTTATGTTTTTTTAGTTTCTAGAATACCGGACGTTGGACGAAGTCCAAAAACACAGTATTTTGGAGTCAGAACCCTTTAGAATCTACTAACACAAATTAGTCTATACATGACAAGGAGAGTTGTGTTACACTTACATGATGGACCACCGTGGACAACAGAGAACACATTGATGAAGATGGTGATGCCATAAGAGATGGGCAGACACAGCAGTCCTCGTGCTATGGGATTGGATGTGTTGAGGATGAAGCATCGGATCAGCATAAACATTAACAATGATATCACACCGGACAAAACTGGGGACAGGAACCAAGATCCAACTGCAAAACAGAGTGTTCAGCTTCATACATCTGCAGTCAAGCCAAAGTACTGGAAGATATTCTAACTCCATGAAGTGATGTTCTCCTTGAGAAGCTGATAACTGCTCAGCTGCTCAACAAATTGCCCACCCACTACAGAAGACAAAGGTTCATTGCCTTGTCCACAGGAGTTCACCACTAGTCCCTATCCTGAGCCAGATGAATTCAGACCACTAATATTACCATCGAACCTATGCCTGCACCTGTCTGGTTCTCTCTTCCCTCCAGGTGTTCCTATAAAAACTTTGTATGCACTTCTCTTCTCTTTCATCTCATTGTCCTTGATTTTGTCATCCTAGTAATATCCGACAGAGTGTACAAATTGTGAACCTCCCATTATGGAGTTGTCTTCTTCCTCCTGTCACTGCCTCTTCCTTGGGTATAAATATTCTCCTCAAAATCTTGTTCTCACAAATTCTCTGTTCATGTTCAAGAGATCAAGTTTAATCTTAACCTGTTTACATAGCATATGGGAAGATAAAAAGATTGTGAACTGAACTGTTGCAAGCATTCCCCTAATTTAATTCTTCCATAAATGCAATTTCGATTTATTACTGTCAGTACAAAATATTTTAACTTTAACTTAGGGACAAACAAAATTACTGAGATAAATATCTCAAGTTACATATAATGGTTATAATCATTTACTCTTGAGCCGTTCTAAGGTTTAGCTCACTCACGTATGATGTCATCATGTTTCCCTTGACGGATTCCATCCCCACTATGCAGTATCCTGACGTCAGTCACGTGGTCCCATGTACCCTCTCGTGAAGGGGAGAATTGTACAGTGCAGTCGTGTAGACCAAGTTGACTTGGAAGGTCGGTTACTAGCCAGCAGGTTTGTTGTGGAAAATATTGGTTTCGGCTGGGGCTGTTCTAATTTCCCTTTTGGTGCTATCTGGATGGCCGGTAAGGACTGCCCGCGGTCGCAAGCCGTTGCTTGAATGCTTGCGATGCGCGTTATTAGATTTGGTTTGGTATTTTTTATCAGAATTTAGACTTGCGTTTGTAGGGCCGGAGTGCTTAACGTCCTGATATCTCTAGTGTCGACACAAGTGGTGCCGACGGGAAATTGTTTGTTCTAAATGAGCTTGTATTAGTTTCTTGGTCAAATGTGTCGTTTGTTATTTGTGTATTGTTATATATTTTTTATTAAAATTATATTTGTTTGTATCTAAGCCAACGAACTGAGTGTAGCTTCCTCCTCCTAGCTTGGATACCCCATCCCCATCTAGGGGAGCGTGGGAACCAACAATAGGGCCAGTAACGATTGCGCTGTGCCCTTCCTCTTCGTAATAATAATAATATAATTGTACTCAGTGGAGGGGAAGACGAAGGGCGCGGTGCACTCTTAACAAAAAAAAATCTTGTGGTTCCAAAGAACGAACAGGTTCCTTCTGAGAGCCCTCTGAACAGAAAAACTTAACAACATGGCACCTACCAACCATTCCAAGGACACGCCAATTGAGGCCTCTATTGCCACGGCAAACAAGAGAGAAACCAACAGTAGCACCAACGATACTGTGAGTGGCAGACACAGGAAGCTTCAGGAATGTTGCACCAAGCAACATCACAGAGCTGGCAACTGTAACAATACAACTGTGTCAATATGTACATGTAAACTGTACTCTGAGCCAGTTCAGTCCACACCTCAATGCCCTCTTTCTTCCATCCTAGGTTGCTTAGACAGAGTATGCAATTCAACAATTTTGCATGCACTTTTTGTTCCATTTTTGTTCTACGTGCCTAAGCAAAATTAATCTTCTGGACTCAATTACTTTCAAAATTTTAAGTGAAAATAAAATTTTCAGAAGTATTCAACATGTAATTTTCTTTAGTTTTATGTTAGGTTATTTACATCATTAGTGTTGACTGTGCATCTGACCATGTATCACTTCATGCACCTGCCTGAGGATGACAGTATGGTGACTGAAACGTGTTGCATTATTAACAAAGAATTTCATAACCAGAATGTAACAGTGACCTTGTGATAAGTAAATAATTACACAAGCATGTCGTGAACAGAAGCCAGACAAGTATACTCAACAGATCCTTAAAGTGGGATTTCACTGTACACCTATAAACATCCAAGCAAACATATCAATGGGTTGGCACTTAACGCCTTAGGCAAAGGGTAACTATATATATCACCTGCATTAAAATTAAGAATTTCTGCATCTTTTGTTTATACATTCTCTATGATTTTCACAGCAAACAGCAACTACCACCCGATACTGATCTTTATTGCTATCCTGAAATTAGATGGTACCTACTAATTAACATTTATTTATTTTTTTACTTGATTGAGATTTAATTTGTGTTTACTTTAATGACGAATGACGTGAGATATTGTAACAGTATATTGCAGCGTTATACACTCGTAATACACTGTTCCTCAGGAATTTTCTTGAGTTTGCTGGTGACAGCCGGTCGGCTGTTTGATAGTAATGGGAAAGCATTAGCCTCCTGACCAGGGAATCAAGCTGACGCCCATATGAGAGTTTCGAGCACTTTTGTAGCATCAGAGTGACCAGGCAACATCTGGGAGACACAGCTTGGAATGGTTCAGGGGTACATGGTACCCAGTCCTGTGAAATATGTGGCTGGTCAGTCACATTCAATAAACAGTGCATAGCACTGATGAGTTCTTCAATAAATAGCCATTCAGGATTAAATCTGGACTCCTTCAGCATTCTCCAAGGGTCCACCTCCACCTGTCTCATATTTCTGGCTCGCTAGGTTTTACCGCCATTTTCTCACCCATATCAACTTGATCCAGATTCCTGAGGCAAATTCAGGTGGATCCCATTACAGCAAACATTAAAGGATGGGGTGAAAGTTGAAGATGTAGTGTTACCCCCGTAACAGCATTACCTGATTGGTCTTTGGTTTCTATGAGACAGGAACTGTACTTTTGAACACTATGTAGAACAGCTGTAGGCTTCACAGTATGAAACACCTTCCCCTTGTCTCTGTTTGACTGTAACAAGCTACTCACTCAAAACTGCAAACATTCCCAACATCAGCTCCAACTCTGCTCCTTCGTAAAGATCCACCTGCAAGATGCCCTTTCGGACTGTGCCTGACACCTTGTACCCTGCAGCACAGAAGCAGCCTCTACAGGTCATGCTGGGCGGTATGCACAAATAACAATAGACCCGATATGAATCAGGAGCCAGGAGGGAAACTTCAGTGAAACTGACATTTATCGAACTTTGAAATCTCCTCCTGTTGTTTCTTTACTTAAAACAATGTTTTGGAGACTGGAATCACTCTCCATCTTCAGATAAAAACCTACTCAATTGGGTCCAATCAATACAGCAAGCCCCTGTCTCTGAACACTAGCACCAACACAAGATAGGATATAGAGACCAAGCACAGCACAAACCATCTGCGAGAGATAAGACAAGCATTGAAAAATAGTGAGAAAAAAACTCAACACACATGAGGCCTAGAACCTGTGTCCAGGTATTACTTCATGGCCTGTATCTATAACATGAGCAAACTCTCAGAATATAAGCCAACACTAGAGAGACAAATTCTCTTTATAGTACCAGTCTCTGAAAAGTTGTTTTAAATAAAAACCAGGATGATGGTTAATGTCCAAAAACAGAATAATTGCATTAATACACCACCAACACAGACTTGTATATATTATTTGGACCCTTGTTATTACATATATGTGTATATCTTCGCAGTAGCTAAATTATAAAAATTAAAATCAAAGTACATATGAGATTGTGGTTGAGCAGGGGAAGGAGTACTCATTAGATAAGATTTGAGGCTTTCACGGCGGTGACTATGAAGAAAGCAGTCTTCTGGGATTTGGCACCGTGTATATGTGGTGTTAACCGACTTTCGGAGGAACGTATTGCCCCCATCTTCAGGGTAGAAGAAAAAGTATAATAAATCTGCAAGCGACCACACCGTGAGAAACGGTAAAGCATTCTCACGGTGTGGTCGCTTGCAGATTTATTATACTTTTTCTTCTACCCTGAAGATGGGGGCAATACGTTCCTCCGAAACGTCGGTTAACACCACATATACACGGTGCCAAATCCCAGAAGACTGCTTTCTTCATAGTACTCATTAGAGTTTGCTGTTTGAGCAAAATAATCCCAGAGTTAGAGAAACCAGAAACATTAGGCGTACCGATAGCAGATTATGCACGTCACTCTCTGTACCTTCAAACTGGAGCAAGGAATTCTGCAGTAAATTTCATAATGCAGTTAAAACATTTCATAGAACTTTGTATGACTTAGACATATGCAGTCATACTGGATGATGTGATCAAGGCTGCTGTATGCTCAAATCCATGGCTTTACAAGGCTCTACTGCAGACACATTTTGTTTCCACAGAGCTAAACATTCATACTGCGGTGCCTTATGGGTTATGTGGCCCCATATTTGGTTATGAATGATTAAGTGGAACCTGGAGGTTTCTGTCTTGAGGATGTGGACAGCATTTTCCTCCAAACATTGGTACCCACCAACTAAATTACGAATGTTCATCCCTGTGAAAACTTCAAATCTTATTAACTCATAAGCTTCTCATTACATAATATCAGCTATTATCCAACAAACACATGACTTCAGCATCCAGAAATATGCCACATAGAGTGCTAAAGGTTTTCTACTTTAGCAAACACTGCAGTTATCATCTTCAGGGCTCTCAGAGTGGGTGCTGAGCAGGAGATGAAGGTGTAACTGGATGAAACAGAGGAGTGGGAGTCTAACCAGCAGTGCGTGACCATATGGATAATGAAAAAAGCTTTAGAAAAATGTTTTGGTGACCCTGCACGAGGGACAAGAATTTCCCAGATAATTCATCACTTTTGGATTTAAACATTGTGAGAAACATTCTGTGCTCAGATACAAATACGTTCTTCTGCCACAGTATGAAACCATGTTACCCGTGGTAAAAATATTATTTTATTTACCTTACTATTCAATATTTGGAAAAACCGAACAGAGGATTTTTCACTTTTTCATTCAACATCAGGCAATACAGAGTCTATATATACATCAGTGTAATCTTGGCTGTGGAACGCGGTCTCTCATACTAAGGGAATGGCAAAGACTGAGGGTACTGACAGGAGTGTGTGGACCTGAAAGGAATAGGAAGTGACAGGAAGACGGAGAAAATTGCACAATGAGGAGCTTCAAAATTCGGAGGTTTTACTGAATATTATTAGAAGTCGGGATAGCTCGTTCAATATACTGACGAGCTATGGGCTGGAGGACAAGATTTATTTTGTCTCTACAGCGTCCAGACCGACTCTGGGGCCCACCTACCCTCCTATCCAGTGGGTACCAGGGGCTCCTTCCCCAGTGGGCAAAGCAGCAGGAGTGAGAAGCTCACCACTCACTTCCATTTATTGCCAAAGTCAAGAATGGTGGTGCTTTACCTCCACCCCCATACAACTTCATGGCATCATGTTTAACTAATTAAGCACAGGGACAACTTTACCTTTATGAAATACTATTAGGCTGATCAGCTCAAGGAGAATGGGATGGCAGGACATTTAGCACACACATCAGAAAACCTGTGTGGCAGGCACTCTTGAAAGACCTGCTGAAGTGTGATATTGAAATGGGTCTCAGAGAGAAGGCAGCGGGGGGGGGGGATATGGACTGGATTCACCTGGCTTGGGATAGGGACAAGTGACTGCGCTCTGGTGAACATGATAAAGAACCTTCATGCTCCATAAAAGGTGGGAAGTTTTTAACCAACTGAGCGGACTATCAGCTTAATGTGAAATCTCATCAATGGGGTGTTACCAAGTTAGATGTGAGAATGAGGCTAGCTACCACACTACTAGCTTATTTAGCTGTTGCAACCAAGGAACGGTATGCACTCCAAAGACACCGCAGCCCCCATCCAATAGTCCGCATTTTAAATTTACTCTCATTTAACATTCAATTTCAGTGTTTCCAAGTCAATAGCCTCAGTGTTAAATTCCTCCCCCTTTAAGAGTTAACTCAGTTTAGTGTTCAGGTCAAAAGAAAACACAAATGGTAGCTTCACTGTGTACGGAACATGTGTTGCACTCACCTAGCAGCATGGATCCTGCAATCTCAAACACAGTTCCTAAGCAGCATGCCTGCCTGACGGTAAGCACTTTCGATCCAATGGAAGTAGCAAACGAGTTAGGGACACTGTTGGCTCCAATACCAAAAGCCAAGATGAATCCCACTGCGAAACTAACAATGACAATCCACAGCACATGGGCTGAGTAAGGGTCTAGCATAGCGGACAGTTTGTTGATTCTTTGTCGGGTGATACGTCGAGAGTGTCTCCCTCTCTAACATGTGCATGCAGATGATCTAACAAAGCAGCACTCAGAGTGTCAGTCCCAGAGGAGAGACAGGATATCCACATCAATACCGTCTCTCCAGATACTCAATTGTGATAGTTGTATCACTTCTTTTCATAATAACATTAAAAAGCTTGAATGAAAGCTGAGATGTTACAAATGTCAGTGAACAGACTTGAACAGCTATGCTACTGTGCAGTGTCTACTTCAGCGGCCTGTGTGCTTCGCCCATGTTGCTAGAAGAGAAACGACATAAACATGATGCTGTTAGTGCATCATCACTACTGTTTATCTAAAACATCTTTGAGAATACACAACCTTACACAGCAGAAGTTCCTTGTGTTCAGTGAGATCTCTGGTATGGCTATATTGGTTCAAAAATGGAATTTAATGATTTTATAATGATGACATAATGATCTACATCCCTCACTGATGGTGATGTACTTTCAAAGATGTTTAAAAGAGAATTCATTGCTATATGAACATATGAAAGCGCAATTAGAAACAAAGATACCTTGGCCTGTCTACTAATACATTCCAATATCACAATACATACCTCACAGTGCTAATTAAAAGCATAAAAATATAACAATTTTACAAGTAAAAAGGGCAAAATGTTGGACATATGGATAACAACAATCAAAACAAAACAAACTCCATGACCTGTAGTCTGCAAGCAAACTATACCGACCATGCGACTGCCGCTTGTCAGCGAAATTAGTGACAAATTTGCAGACAGAGGGTGTCACATGGTCAGTGCAACAGATCCCCACAGACGTTAATCTATGTTTTCTAGACCGGAGCCGCTATTTTCTTGAAATAGCTCCTCAATTATCCTCACGAGACTGAGTGGACCCCATTCCAGACCCACTTCTCAGAAAATCTGGTAGTGGCGGAAATGGAACCTGGGACCTCTGGATCCGTAGCCAGGAATTCTGACCACTAGACCAGAGGCGGTAGGATAACAACAATATATTTATACATAACTAGTACATGCCAATATTAATTTTCATATCATCATCATCATCAGCATCAGTAATGTGTCAAGACGACAGGTCCACAGTCTCTTCCAAAACAATTCCTCCATTTAATGCGATCTAGAGCTTTCTCCTTCAAATGACAGTATCCTCTTCTGTCCCCAAGGTCATCCAGCATCTTCTTACGTCCTCTTG